TTTCTTTTTCATTTATCATTTGTTTGTCTCATTTTTTTATTAACTTGAAATGATATTATAAGGTAGTAACTAGTTCTACAATTTTTCTTTTTGATTAAAATTAAAAACTCTCTATTTTTTATAATTAATATTAAAACTTCTCTTTTTGTTATAATTAAAAATTAAAACTCTTTTTGTTATAATTAATATTAAGATTTCTTAACTCTTTTTCAAATAAATAAAAAACTTGATTTTCTAATTAAAAATTCAATTCTAACTCTTTCTTTAAAAACTAGTTTTTTTTATAAAATTAAAATCCACTCTTTTTCTTTTTCTTTTTTAAAAATTAAAATTAACTTCCTTCTTTTTTTTTAAAATAAAACTTCCAACACCTCATTTCTTTTTAAATTAAAATTTACCTTTCATGTAATTAAAATTCTAATTGTTTCTTTAAGTTAAAATTTCTAACACTCTTTTTTTAAATTAAGATCCTAGCACTTTAATTTTTTCATATCATAAATTTCTAACTTTTTATTAAAACTCTAACTGTTTAACTCAAACTTTTTCTTAATAAATTTCTAACATTTCTAACATTTCACACTTTCATTCCAATCTTCTAATTAAAAAATACTAAAATAAAAATGTTTAATATTCCCGTTTAATTTTCATCTTTTGTCCATGGGTATTAATCCAGTACTTTTGGCATTTTATTTTCTTTGGGTTGTACTTATGCGAGGCCATCGTCGCAATTATTATTCTTGTTTATTTCCATGGATGTAATTTACGCGAGGCCATGGTCGCGGTTATTTTATTTTGCATTTTTTGGGAATTTGTAATTTACGCGAGTGATCGTCGCGATGCTTTTTTACCGCTTTCTTTATCTTTCCGCATTTTAATTTCTACCATGTAATAATTCTGTTGCTTGCATGTTTTACCGTTAGAATCTTTCCGAAGGAATTAGGTTTACCCGTTTGACCACCGAGTCAATAACCCTAATTTTTTACCGTTTCAAAAACCCTAATAACCTAGGTGACCCACCGTGGACAAAACTACCCTTTACCCTAGTTTTAGGTCAAAGAGTCGCCGTACTCTGTTTAGGGTTTCCCGTCGTGGAATCCCTAATTTCAACCCTAAATTTTCAATTAACAAATTCAACATAGAAATAGGAGTTTCAAAGACTCCACGTAAGCGTGTCCTTAAGATATGTTTACTCCCCTTGAAACCTTGACCACAGTCAAGACGTTTCTAACCTCCCTTTCGAGGGGAACTACGATTACTCTGATTCCATTCCCTATCCAGGATACGTAGGCACAAGATGCGATGTCTTGCCGAGTAAACTTAGGACTAACCCTTAGGTCTTTAGGTTATTCTATCCCTTAGCTCAGTATATACATCAAACAAATAATAAAATAAAAAAGCATACAATAAACAAAAGGTTCCTGTAGAGTACTACAGAAGTTTAGGGTGCTAGTACCTTCCCTAAACTTAACCAACCCCTTACCTAGGTCTCTCCCCGCATTGTGTTTACGATGCAAAAATAGGTTTTCCCTCTTTTGACCTTTTCCTTCGGATAAATCAAAGAGCGGTTGTGAATTAAGAATTGTGATTCAAACTAATTAATAGTTTGATATCCTATTTCCACCGCAACAATGACGCCAAAGCAATGAATTCAACTTGAAATGATCTTGGCCTGAAAAGCAAGCTTGAATCTTTCTTGAATCAATGACAAGAATATGAACCACATGATCAGGACTTGCAAATGACTTGAAATATTGCCCAAATGCCTTCGCTGTTGTTGGATCTGCACCTTGACTTCATCGGATAACTTGAATTGACACAAAAACCCTAATTGAAACCTCAAACACAAATCACTTGAATTATGCATACCCTGCCCTTGATCATGAAACAAAGTCTTGTTTGACCAAGATTATGTAATAACCAAATTAACCTCAATCAATACTACAGGCATACCTGACCTGATAGTCTTGCTTAAAACCCAATTCAACCTTGCAACAACTTGGACTTAGGCAATAAGAAGAAATGGAAACAACTTTATTTTTTATTTTTTTTTAATAATGGTTAGTAAACAAAGATACAAGTGAGGATAATATTATACAAGTAGTATAAATTTGGGGTATGACAGGTGCGAGCAACTAATTCCTATTGTGATGAAATTAGTGAAGCGTTACCTATGATGATGATAACGATTTTGGTGTGCTCTGATCTTAGGCGGGGATTGGAGCGAGTGAACCTGAGATTTCACAATTTGGTACCACATGCATTGAGTCGTGATGAAGTCTTATTAAATTCTCATATATGTTGCACTATTGTATGTGTGGTTTTGTGTGAGGTGTGAATTGTGGATTGAGTATCTTGTATGTATTAATGGTGTGCTTACATATAATTATGCAATTCTTTATATGTTTGTGATTTCTCACCCTTTATGTGTGAATGATGCCTTTACATGGACACCGTACAGATAATCCGCAGTAGAGGCGTGGATGTGAGTGGAAGAGAGTGCTCTTTCTTTTTCTATGTTGAGCCAGTGTCTGCTCTGATGTGTAACACCGGGGAACGAATAGAACACTGTTTATTATGTTAAGTTTTATGAAGACTATTATGTGTATCTCTCAAATTTGATAATTACTTTAATTTTGTCATGTCATGATTGAATTTAAAGTCTTGAAATATTTACTTGGTTGATGTTTCCGCTACTAATAATAAAAGTATGATGTTGGACTAGCTGATTAATATTATTATTATTTAAAAAAAATTAAAGTGGCATGTGTTACATATCTGACTGTATGAGCAGGTTTTTGTTGAGTTGTAGCATCCTAATTGCTAAATACTTAAACTACTCTGATTTTTATTATAATTTACGCAGAGATAATTAGGACGTTACACTCCTCATCCTCGACCATATATGAATCCACATGTTACTTTTGTTGTAATTCATGAAGGTTATTTATGAAACCATGTTTTGAAGGTTATTCAAATAAGTGATCAAAGCTAAATATGATTATCATGGTTTGATGTTGATGATGTGCTTATGATTATGACAACTTAGTTTCACTAATGAAAGCTTATGAAAATGCAAGCATTGTGTCAAACGGTCAAAGATGCACAGGACAGTTTGTTCAAAGCTTTTCATCTGATTTAAGCAAATGAACTAGTGTTATTTGACGATCTCTATCCTATAATGATGACATTCAACCTCAAGTTATCTCAAGCCTCATCTCTAAGAAGATTCAAGCAAGTGCTTATATGATTGACTTATTTGGAAAAGTCTTGAAGTTTCAAAGTATGAAAGAGAGGAAGTATGAAAGTTTGCCCAATTGCGTTTGAGTGTTCAATGTGTTGTAAAAACATAAGGGATTTTTTTGTAAAATAATATATCTAAATCACACACAAACGCGCACACACACACGGACACACACGTACACTCACACCCACACCCTCGTTTAATCGATTGGCACATATACCCTGTCGGTTGGGACATTGCAAACATTATCCATAAATGATTGTGACTGTATCTTAATGTAGGGCAACATCTCTGTATCCATACTTTCTAAATTGTGTGATTGCAAACGGATATATGAGGATCCCAATCGATTGGTTTTAGGTCCTAACCGATTAACTCATTAATTTGTTCCATGAATTTTTTTTCTTTTTTTTGTCAACCTCTAACTTATAAATAAATGCATCTTCCTTCAATTTTATAATCCAAAATCGTGGACTCTCAAAAATATTTTTTATTTTCTATTTACCCTTATCTCTATCCTAAAAAAAAAAAAATGGGACATGGACATTACAAAAAGAATTAAATTAAAAAGTAGATTTTAAAATATTAATTAGAACAGATTTTAAGTAAATATTGTATTCAAATCATATTTTAAAATTTGAACAAAAATAAGATAAATAACTATTTATTAAATTGGTGTAGTATCAAATTTAGTTACAAATATGTTAACTCATATCTTTGAAAAGAAGTAGTAAAGCAACGAAAATAAAATCATATTAGATAAAGAAACTATACACATTAATTTGATCAACAACAACAAAAATTATAAATAAAGCTTATTTACAAAGAAAACAAAAATTGAGTCGGTTCATCATGCACATAGCAGAAATGCCTCTTCTTATCCAACATCAAATAAGTTATTTCTTCTTTATTCATCCATATCCCCATAAATTTTTGTAAAATTAGCATAATGAAAGTATATGAATTATTTTGGTTGATTTGATATTTGTTTTCAAATACACCATTCAAAGATTATTTTCTAAAAAAGTAAATTTCATATTTTTTAAATGTTATCAGAATAAGTCTCGATTATGCCCTAGAATTTTGCACAGATTTAAAATAAAATTGATTAACAATTAAAAATATCACTACATTTTTCCATTATATATTTATTTTTATTGATATCTTTCCATTATTATAGCATATTAGTTAATCTATTAACATTTATATTATTAATGACTAGCATTCAGACGTATACACTCACGTGTCTGTCGGTCAGTTTTTTATAATACACGCGCATAAAATATAAATTGTATTATTTATAAAATAATAGTAATATATAATAGTATAAAACTTAATAAATTGTCACATAATCACCATTTTTTAAAACAGAAATTAAAATTTAAAATAAAAAATGAAAAAGTATTTTAAAAGTAAAGAACTAGTTTTTCCTTTATATATAGGTATAAATACATAAATAAAATAAATATTTAATTAATTATTTTTTTTCTATAAAAAAAAATCAATTAAATCTATTAGTAATTTAACATTCATGTTATTTATTTATCATTAATAATAATATAAATGTCAATAATTAACTATTCAATAAAAAAATTAAAAAGAGGAGAAATATATGCTTAATAACAACCTTGACCTAAATTGTAGGTGTTGAAATTTGAAACTTCCTAGCCAAGTTACCATAAACCTTGTAGAGCTTAAAAGTATTGAGTGTGAATTTCTACCATTGTTTCAGTTTCATAGATTGAAATTAGCATCACCAATGGCACATTATCATGATCAACCTGCATCTGATTACTATATCTCTAATCAAAAATTAACATGTCATAGATATTTCCTCAATCAACTGCACATCCGAATTAATCTGGTTTTTTTTCTTTCTTTTTCATAATTTTTTTTATGTTCATCATTCTTTTTATAATCACATTTAATTTTTAGGATGATATTGCACAAGTTTATGTTGAATTTCTTGATTCTAAAGGTTTTAAAGGTTTACGATCGATTGAATTTTGAAATAGAAATAAACCCAGGATCAAAAGAACCCTAGATAGTTCTCTGAATTTCTGTTTATGACCGATTGTGTAAACCCTAGATAGGTCTCCATGTCAAGAATAAACCCTAGATAGTTCTCTGAATTTCTGTTTATGACCGATTGAATATTGAATTTTGAGAATTATTTGTATTGTGTGTTGAGTGCAGCTTGAGGATCAAGTAACAGAGGTTGAACAGTTTTACCAATCTACTGATGTTCAAAACAATGATTGTAAAATTAAACGTCGAGAGAAGCCTCCTACTGGATCTAAGAAGCTGTCGCGCCGTGCTTTGGAAGAAATGCAAGACGAGATTATGCGTCATTTTTCCAGAATGTTAACTGATGTAAGTGTTGTTAAATATCAGTGCTTTAGCATAGTGGATTCTTGCACGATACACTATTTAGTACTACGAATTATTGGCAAATATAGCTGTAATTTTATGTGATCTGCTATTGACTGCAATGTTAGTTTCACTGAAAATTACAAAGCAGTGATCGAGTTTCATGTAATAGCTTAATAATGATTCTATTTTCTTTTTCTCAGATAACTCGTCACAAATGGGCATGGCCCTTTTTGGAACCTGTAGATGTTAAAGGTCTTGAGCTGTATGATTATTATGAGGTATTATTTCTTCATTTTTAAGCTTTTCCATTGACTTATATACTATAACTATCTTAATTGCATAAATGACATTTGAAGTTTTATACACTTTCTGAAAAATGGTTTAGATATTTGTTTGGTCGATGTTTTTGGCTCTATAGCACCTACACATCTGAAAAAATGTGTTTCCGTGTCCGTGTTCGAAACTGACACCGACATTTGAGATTACGCTTAATTTTTATTTATTTTTTAAATTATTAAACGTGTCGGTGTCTTGTTATTTTCGATGTACTAGTGGTGGATCTCTTGAGCTTGTTATTTATCTATTTTATCAGAGCTCTCTGCTAACTCTTCTTTCAAAAACAATTTGTTTGGTTTTCTTTCCCTAGATCATTAAAAAGCCTATGGATTTTAGCACAATAGAAAGAAAAATGAACGTGAAAGATGGCTCTGGTTATAAAAATGTGAAGGAGATATATGATGATGTAAGGCTGATTTTTAACAATGCAATGACGTACAATGATGAAAAGCATATTATCCATGATATGGCCAAGACCTTGCTCGACAAATTTGAGAAGAAATGGTCGCATCTATTGCCTAAAGTCACTAAATTGGTAATTTTGTTTTTTCCTGCATAATTTCCTTTTTTTGAATCGATGAAACTTGCTTTGTCTGTAGCTGCATTATGTTCTTTATTTGATTGTTTCAGGAGAGTGAACTATCAAAGGAATCACAAGAGAAGTTGAACAAAAAGCTTGCTCAAGAAGCCACTTATGCCAACATGACTATGAAATTAAGCGAGGAGGTTGGTTCATTATTGTTTTACTGAGTTGTGTTTAAACTTTAAAATCGACTGATGTATGTTACTTAGAATAAGTATTTCAGATGGATAATTTGCACATTAAATTTCTGTTGTTCCAGTTGTCTAATGCTGATAAGGCTTTGGCGAATCTCAAATCGGAAATGATTGCAAATTGCAGGTTTGTGAAAGAGTCACCCCATAAGATATTCCTTTTTGTGGTCTAAGTCGAATTTCAGTAAAATAGTGCTACATAGTACATATCATCTGTTAGTTTAGTGTTTAGTCTCGAAATTATTATTTCTAGAACTCCCTTATGAATTTAGATTTCTTCCGTTCACACAATCATAATTCACAACGTTGTTGCCGATCTGAATTGTCTAGTTAAGATTAGACGATCCACAGTTCGACTTTGTATTATAATCCTAAATCCTAATTTACGAAATTGAACCAATGATTGATCTGATAGTCCTATTTGTATCATTGCATCAGATGTATCATTCTCTTTCCGCAAGATATCTGGATTAGAGTTTTATAGCAACTAGTTGTCCTTTAGTTTGCTTCTTTAAACAAGTAACTGAGAATTCGTTATTGATTTTCTTTTCTTCATGTTATGAAATTATGTTGCTTCTTATTATGCATTGTTTGGTTGTTGACAATACTTTATAGGAAACTGTCGCCTCTGGAGAAATCGTTACTTGCAGTAGATATCAGTAAATTGTGTCCTGAAAACCTCAACAAAGTATTAGAAATAGTTAAGGAGAATAATCCAGATTCCCAAATCAATATGGAAGACGCGACCCTTGATCTTGACTCTGAGGTTTGTCATGTTAATTTCTTTCGGTTTTGTTTAGCAAATGTTATTTAGCTACTCACTAATTTTGGTATCATTATAATATACAGAGCACCTACACATTGTGGAGACTGTATATGTTTGTAAAAAAAGCACTAGAACTTCAAGATGCATCAGGCGGGATTATTCATCCAGACAACATTGAGGAAAAGGAAGTGATTACTCGTGAGGAAGAGAACACCGATTACAAAAGGAGGAGAATGATATGATTCAGTCAAGAAGAGTATTTGCAAGCATCGATGTATGATACTTTTCAAGTTGAGATTGAGTTTAGTATGCCAAATCTCAGAATATGATTATTGTTGGAATTTTATTGGAATTGAAAAGATTTATTAACAATTAATGAGCAATAAATGAACACAAGTGAGAACTAATATAGAAGTGAATTTAAAAAGATTCATTTTAGTCCCACATTGAAGGGAATGGAAATATTAGTAGTGTTTATATATTCCAACTTTGTCAATTGGGTTGGGCCCTAAAGGGCACCAAATTTTGTGAAAGGAGTGAGGACACAGCCATGACCAACAAGACAAACGCGCGCCGGCCGGCTCGGCTCGGTTCGGTTCGGTCTATACAAACCTAGTACGCGACTTAGTGGAATCCAAAACTCACTGTTGATGTTGAGGACTAACTTAGTGTGGTTAGCAAAATTTTGGGATGCCAATCATTCTTCGGCATCGAGGACAAGTTGGAATGGGCATATTAAGATGTGAGACCATCATTTGACTTGACAAGTAATTTTTCCTGGACCAATTATAATCTGTAACTATTATGGGGTGTTTAGTCTCTTCATATATGTGTCTTTTCTCTTATACGGGTCACTCTACCCTTCAACGATTAAGGTACTTAACCATTTGGATGTCGCCACATCATTGCATTCGTTTGATTGGTGTATGTGAAATCTTTTCAATATTGGTGTGAATACGAGTCATACAATGTTAACCTTGTTCTTTCATTTGTTCCATGTTTTGAGAAAGTTTGTTGTTTGTGATCTCTTTGAAACAAGGTTGTACATTATTTTAATAACACATAGATTCCTTGAAGAATTTTGAGAAGAGATTATTTTTTGTTATGCCTCTCAATTGTACCATGTATAAACATTTTGTGAGATCCTCCAAGGTGAGTTCAGGGAGGATGAATATAAGTATAAGGAGAAGGGATGCAACTTAGATGAGGCTGATGGTAACTCTAAAGTCACGGTCTCTTATGGTAATTCCTTCAATTATTTGATGAGTGAGGAAGGTGAAAGTGTTAGGGATACCTCTAGACCTGTTGTTCATTGGTCAGGCTATACATATAAGTTCCCTAATTAGTGGTCTTAGAGCCACTTTGCTAGTGGTTATAGGACTTACGTCTTTAAGCAAGTTTGCCTCTTTAGTTAGGAGATGAGACTGAAGAGTGTTGGACATGTAACTTCACACACAAACAAGGGGAGTGAATTGTGTGGTTCATAAGAACTTGGTTTTAAAAACATTTTGAAAACGTTTAAGTATTAAGCAGTGGAAAATAAATTGCAAAAAGTAAAATGCTGAAAATAAAGAGTTTAGGGAAAGAAAGAACACTGAGAATTATAGAGGTTCGGTCAAAACAAAAATAACATAATCATCTCCCCAATAATTGATCTTGAGAGTATTCAATCAATTTTGAGAGTTTTTAGTAGATAATACTCACGAACTCCCTTGTATAATGAAAATGGTTGACTTTCAACCAAAACAACAAGACTCTAGAATTTTGCAGTTTGAATATTCACTTCCAAAAGGTGGATTGAAGAGGTTAGTCCTCTTTCCATAGACGGTAGATCGAAGCGATTAGTATTATTTCCACAAGAACCTTGGAGCAGTTAGTCTTCAAGCTTCTAAACAAACTTTGTAAGTTTTTACCACAGACTGAGCTCACGACCCTTAAACCTTGGTTTTACTCGGACTAACTAATAACTTGGGAGATTTTAATACCAAGCTAATCTTGAACCATATCCAAACTTTTATCATGGACTAAGCTTTAACCTAACCTTAGTTTTACCACGAACTAACCAAGAACCTATGAGTTTTACCACGGGCTAATCTCGAACCAATTAAGCTTTTAATCACAGGTGGAGCTTGAACCTAAACAAGCGTTTGATCACACAATTGCCAAACCAAAAACTTTTAAGGGTTTACCTTCTAACCTAAACACGTCCTAAATAGATAATATTCAATCAAGATATAAATAAAAATTCTCTTGGTGAATGTTACAACTCTACCCTTTCAGAATTACAACTTATCACCACTCACAAAATGACTTTCTCAAATAAGCACTTCGGCTAAAATATTAGTGATAAAAAGTAAAGAAAAAATTTAGAGAGAGAGAGAGAGATGGGGGAGTGAAAAATGTCATAACATGTTTCTAGATGTTTTGAAATAAGGGAGGAGACCTTTATTTATAGGGTAGAGGTTGGCTTAAAAAGAAAATTGATTTTAATTCCTTTTAAGATAATCTAATAGATTTAAACATAATGCTAATCGATTATCAATTCAAAAAGGACAAAATCAATTTATAGTTATTGTACATTGTTAAGATGATGTTGTAATTGATTAGAGCTTAATTTTGAATTGATATAATTGATTAGATAAGTGCTCCAATAGATTAGAAATGGAAAAACTTTACCCATAACAATTCTGATTGGTCTTAATTCATCTGACCCAACTACAAGATATTTTAGAAAATATTTTCTTGAGAAAAATCAGTTTGAAAATAAGTTTTAGTGTGTGTGTGTGTGTTTTTTTTGTGTTTTAGCCATGTATTTTTACCAGAATTCCCTTTAGTTTACACAATATTCACTCAAACTAAGATAAGGTTTCCTTGCACTTCAAGACTTTGTCAAATGTTTTCTTTTGTAGACATTTGGTTGAGTTTATATGAGATAAGGCTTGAGCTTATATTCCATTTGGCTTCCATCACCGGATAGTCAAATCCATCAAAATCTAATACTTAGGTTTGCATTTTTATCTGCTTAATAACTTATGTTTGACTTGTTAGGGGACATTAGTGTCATTATCAATAATTTGTCGTCATCAAAAGTTCAACAAAATTTATTATCCTCGTTAAAAGCATATCACATGCAAAACAAGGTTCCACAAAGAGGATGCTTATGATCTTAGTGAATAACTTTGAATGTCAGATAGAGGTCGGCTCTGATGATATAAGAGAAGAGGAAACCCTTATACATGGATACTCGTCTACTTCTTGAGACATGTAGTTCTTTATTATTCTCATCGTCTACTTAGTGAAAGAAAAGAGAAAAAAATATTTTTGATAAAAGGTGGCCTCAGTGTTTTTCTTTATTATTTCACCGTTAAGATCGCTAGTTTTTATTTCTCATTTCACTATTAAGATTGCTAGTTTCTTCTTCCACCCTTTCCCTGAACCATTCTAGGGTTATTATCTAGCCTCGTGTCAAATATGTTATGTAAATGGGTGATAAAATAATGAAGGATACTCCCCAAACCTCTCAGGGTGCCTCTGCGCAAGTCCAAGGTGATCTCAAGCACATGAGGAAGGATGAACAACTAAGACGGAGAGGCATGCTGTCAAAAAGTATAATCCATATCCCACATTAAAATGTCTCATTTTATGAGGCAATGATCTTCGTTATTCTTCTTAAACAGTCACTTCAATTGGACCTGGCCTTTTCAAGCTCTCGTCGGTTTTAACCCCTAGTATCATCAAGGTTAGGAAACTTATAGGATATTATTTCAAATAATGACTTTAACTAGTTGGCTTGAATGGATGGCTATTATTGCTATGAGTTGGTCATGAAATCACTGTCACTTGCTTAGGCTTTGCATCCTCAATTCTCTGATGATGTGCGGTAAGTGAGAGGTCTTCGATTTTGCGAATATCGCTAAAGAATGGAGCACCCTAAAGAAGTAGATAGAAGACTCCAAGGAATAGGTGGTGGAGACTTATGGTGATCTAACGAATGCCCTTGAGAGAGAATAATAAGTTGAAGTAGCCCAAATGAAAAGTTTGTTAGAGGTCGAGAATCTTGATGGTGAGAATGTCTCTACTTTGTAGTGGTAAGTTAACAAAGGGAGTTCAGTTGTTCCTGGTTTGTGTACCACCTACGCATTTGACGTTTGGTGTTTTTTTGTGAATCACATAGGTATTTGAGTCTCGTGTATTTGTTTCTGTGTTTTGCATAGTTTTCTACTTTTTGTACTCCATGCCTCTATTTTCCATTTACTTGCCACTACCTACGTGTTCAAGGTTTATTTTGCTTGAAGGATTTGAGCTTTACCTCGGTATCTTTGAGTTTTTTTCCTTTGTTGTTCCACCAATTACACGTTCGAGGTTTAGTGCCACCATAAAGGGTATAAGCATTAATTTGTCATTAACACGGTAAAAACCAAACACTAGTGAAATTTTCGTTTATTAATTTTATTCTTATATAACATTACTTTGTAAAGACTTATGCAAGAGAAAATAAGCAAAAGAACTTAGTTGTAATGCATTTAAGCTTGGTTACATTCCATGTTTTTGGTATGAGATCCCTTTGGAGAGCCTCAAGTATGTAAGTTCGTTTCATATACTCATCAGGATCTTGTACAACTCTTCCTACTTTAGTGTTAGACCTTCCTTAATGTTTTTTCTGACGATGTTCGCTCTACAAAGAACAAGATTGACGAAGTGGAATTCCTTAGGATTTATATTTTTTATCTATTTGGCTTTCGCAACTTGCTTGAAGGCATTGCCGATGAAGGCAACAAAACATCTATTTTCATCTATGAATTTAAGTGCTTCCCAAATCGCTTGTGAGGCTTCTTCATCATGGAGGGGATATGTCATTGAAATTTTGTTCTCTCAATGACAAGATGTCAGACATATTGTTGGTACAATGTGTATGATAACAAGATTGTGTTCATGAAAATAAATGCATAAAATAAACAACACAATTAATTGTTATCCCAATTCGGTGTAAAGTCACATACGTCTGAAGGGCATTAATCCAATAAGAGGAAATTCACTCTTGGTAGTCAATTGTACACAACAGTCTTATCTAAACTCTCCCGATTCAATGCATTTTTTTCTAATACTACTTGTGAACTTCGATCCAAGCTCCCCCTAAATCTGAGACACGTTTGACTTTCACTCAAACACTCTCCCAAATGTTTGTATAATTACAAAATTTTATGGTGTGATGAATCATTATTACAACACAAATACTTTATTC